CTTCACAGGCGAGGCCCGGGGGAGGCCAGCAGAGAGCCCTGGGGACAGCCACAGCCCATGGCAGGGGCCAAGGCAGCCAGGGGCCTCTGTGGGTGTCGCCAGCGCAGCAGGTGATGCAGGGGGTTCTGGGAAGGTGAATCTGGGGTGGGGACAGGATGGAGCTGGGTACAAGGGGACCGCTGCCCGGCTTGCTAGGAGGTGGCCACAAGGGAAAGGCCGCGCCCCAGGCTCTTGCCACTCAGGGTTCCCCGCAGCTGGGCAAGGCAGGCCCTTCACAGGCGAGGCCCAGGGGACGCCAGCAGAGGACACTGCTGTCAGGGACAAGCCCCCTCAGGGAGCCCTAGGAGCAGGTCAGAGCAGGGACAGGCCCTGGCCCCACTGCAGCCGTCATGGGTCCCGGCTGTGCCCAAAGCCACCCTGGGGTTTGAAGGTGGAAGGCCCTTCGGGGCCTCGGCACCCAGCCATTCAGGGTGGACAGGACGCCCCACGCCGACAGCTGGTGACCCCCGCTGGGCAGGGCTCCCGGGCTGCTCTTGGGAAGGACCCACAGACCCACCAAGGACGGACACAGCTGCGGCTGCTGCGCTTCCTCCAGTTTTATTTGCGGCTGTCCCGCGGTCCCGGGGCGCAGAGCAGCTCCAGCGCCGCTTGTCCTCCAGGGAGAGGCCACGGCCAGGTCCACGGCGGCCCAGGCGGCCGCTCACACCAGGGTGTGGAAGGCGTCCACCCTCTCCCGGTACAGCTGGTGGAACTGCTTGGCCAGGCAGTGGAAGGGGGCCTCGTAGCTCTCCATCTCCTTCTGCAGAGACAGGGGGCGGAGGCCGCGCTCACCCGCCCAGCTCCAGCCGGGGCCATCAGGGCCACGGGGTCCCGCCCCGTCCACCTGGCACCATCAGGGGAGGCCACTGTCACGCTGATCCTACAAGTGATCTGGGACCCAGGGAGGGGGTCTGCTGGAGGCCACGTGCCACTTAGATGGCAGGGCAGGGCCTGGACCCTGGCCTGTTTCCACGGAGCCTGTCCTGAAGGCCACCCTGGCTGACGTGTGACAGGAGCCCCAGAGGCCAGAGCAGAACAGCTGTGGAGGAAGAGCCCGGCCGCCCGCTGAGAATGTCCCAGGGCGGTGGGGGCTCCCGGGGGGCCACTCTCCTCACCCCCAGTCAGGGAGGAGGCTTCAGGAGAGCCCGAGGCCCAGGTAACCCAGCTGACCCCAGGCCAGGAGAGGTGGCCGGCTGCTCTGGTGGCCCGGGGAGGACAGGCTGCCAGTGGGATGGCTGGCACTGCCTCCCGTCAGGGGGCACCTGTGGCCACGCTCCCACCTCCAGGCCAGTGGGTCAGGTGGGAGCCCCTGAAGGACGGTGCTGGGGCCTCCAGGGGTGGACGGTGCGTCCATGGGGGCAGGTCCACAAGCCTCATCCGGGCACCCTGCGACACGCTGCCCTGCTGGCTCCTGCCTCTGCCCTCCTGCAGCCAGGGAGACGCCCAGTCGAGGTCAGAGTGCCCAGCTTGCAGGACCAGGCAGGGGACAGCTGAGATGAGGAGCTTCTCATGACTCAGGGGTCAGGGGACATTTTTATGGGGAACAGGGAAGTTAGACGCGCCCTGGGTGGTGTCTAAGGGAGGGAATTAGGGGCTCTCAGGGTGGGCCAGCGGCCACCCGGGCTGCACGGCCACCGTGCTCTTGCTGTGCGTGGCCTGCACGTCTCTAAGTTTTAAGAAATAAGTCGCCAGAGGAGGAACCCCCTGCGCCCCAGACAGCTGCTGCGAGACCACCCTGGGCGAAGCGCAGCCTCGTGACGGCTGTGAAGCGTCCCCGGCTCAACGGGCAAAGAAGTCAGGGAGGTGGTGGCTCTGGGTGGGGTCACTGCATTCCACAGATGGGCAGCCTGGGGCTGGGGCAGGGCACGTTGGCTGGCACAGGGCTGGCCTCTGGCCTCTGACCCAACCTCAGGAGCCGGCCTCTCCATGGGGCCGGCCAGGAGGCCTGAAGTGAGCAAAGGGAGCCAGGTCTGTGGCGTGTCCCCAGGTCTGTGGTGTGTCCCGGGCTCTCCAGCAAGAAACACGGGAGAGAGGGAGACGCTGGCCACGCGGAGAGTGCTAAGGAGGGTGGACGGGCTGGAGCCACGCCCTGTCCTACAAGGGAGCTCACCCTCCAGCAGAGAAGAGGGGCGTGCGCCCCGGAGCAGCCAGCGCCAGTCTGGTCTGGTCAGAGCAGGTTCAGTATGAGGAGAGACCAGGGCCTACAGGTGGCCAGGACCCGGGTTTCTAAGTGAATCTGAAAGCTCTCCAACACACGACCTTGGGAGATGCCAGCATAAAAAGTGAGGAATTCCGGGCTGCGAGTCCCAGCAGACACACGGATGCTCCGGAAATAGATGGAGATCGAACCATTTTCCAAATGCATTAAGAGGCTGTAGGGGCAGGAGCCCTGGTCAAAGGCCTGATCATAACCTCACTCTGAGCGCGCGGACGATGATGGGGCTGGGTGGAGCAGGACCTAACCAGGCTCGCCTAGAATTATGTCCCCAAGAGCCCCAGCAGGTTCTGGGAGGTAGCGGGGGCACCTGCTCCAAGGCTGAGCTTTCCAGCTACCTGAGCCCGAGTCCTGGTCCTTCACGGTCAGCTGTGAGCCAGGGCCACTCCACGACCTTCTGAGCCTGCATGTCACTGGCATAAGAGGGACAGGAGCAGCTGCCCAGCGCACAGTAGGCCCTCAGCAAACACTGTTCCCTCCCCCCCGCCGCCTGGGAGGGCAGGTGGCCTGGGAAGGTGGCTCTTGCTGACCTGTAACAGTGTCTTGGTGATGAACACTCTTCTTTTTGTCGTTGTCGTTTTAACATTTTAAGTTTTGTTTAAAGAAATACTTTGATCTTTTTGGCCCTCAGATTTCAAACACAGAGGGGTGCTGGGAAGCCAAGGACCAGCAGGTTCCCCTGGGTCAGCCATGGCCGCGCCCGGAAGGATGTGGCACACCCTGGGCTGGGAATGTGAACGTCAGCGCAAACCAGACCCCAGATGTTGGCCTGGCCGCTGGACACGTGGCCGTTTAAAAGCTGCTTCTAGCAGAGGCCACATCAGCCGCGGCACCGCTGCAAGGACACTCACCACGGACGTTTCAAAGCACTCCAGGCCCTGGCCCAGCGCCCACGCCTGGGCCTGGGCCGAGTCCACTGCCCGCCTGCCAGCCAGGTCTGTCTTGTTTCCCACCAGGACACCTGCCCAGAGAACACAGGTGGCACCCTCAGCCGTGGCAGGCTAGGGGTCAGCAGCAGAGACAGAGAGGCAGCGTGCGGTCCGCGGGCACCAAAGAACAGCCTGACCCGGGGTGAGGGGTGGCAGGCGCCTGGTCTTCAGCGCTGCCCCCAGGGGGAAGGTGCTTTGCTCCTGACTTGTGGTTTGCTCAGGGTTTTTCCTAGGCTTCACGTGTCCCTGTGTCCCTGTCTCCTCCGGGCTGCAGGCCTCATGAAGGCGGAGGCCACATTTCTGTGTGCATTTGCGGTAATTCCTAGCGCATGGAGCAAACTTTAAAATGGTCATTAATACTAATCCGGGGCCTGGGCTCCGAGTCAGGGACTCTGAGGTATAAATTACTGTTCCCAGCTGCATCGGCTGCAGCTAATTTCCGAGCCGTCTCTGGGGACCGCCTTCCCTGGTCTATAATGAGGAGAATTTGTTGATCTCACATCGGGAGCAAGGTAAACGGATTTAAGGCATTCAGAAGTGACAACAGGACTTGGATGTAACTTGCACCCCACACAGAGGATGAAATGAGGCCTTCTTCCCCGGGGTGGGCTTTCTGGAAACATCAATTCCTATTACAGTGCCTCCCCCTTATCATCTTGAGCCTCGCCAGGACTTGGTGGCCAGCAGGGTGGCACCACCCAGTACAGACCCCGAGAGGGAGGCAGGCGCGGCTGCTGAGAGGCAGCAAGTCTGGGCTGTCAGGCCAAAGCTCAGGGGCCCTGTCCGGTGCCACAGCGACCCCTGTGATGGCCTCAGGCTCTGGAGCTGAGGACAGGTGCTGCCGTCCTACCTGGCAGGGTGGTGCCCGGAGCCTGCGCCCGCACCTTCTCCAGCCACTTGCCACAGCTGTTGAAGGACTGCTCGTTGGTCACGTCGTAGACCAGACACAGGACGTTGGGACTCTCCCACTGCGCGTGGGGGGGGACAGGATGGGCACAGGTCAGGAACACCACAGGGACTCCCAGGCTGGGCCGATCTGGCTTTCAGGCAGGGAGGTGGGTGAGGGGCGTGAGAAGCCACGGGGTGGGCCAGGAGCAGCCATGGAGGTGCCGCGGTGCCCATGGGTTGAAGGAAGGCCTGCCCAGGGGTTGGCAGGGCTTGGGGGGAGGGTGCAGGCCATGCTTGGCTGGGGCTGTGGGCCAGGTGACACTCTGGACTCGCAGGGCTGGAGGGGGTGGTCCCCTTGCAGCTGAGGAATCTGAGTGTGGAGAGGGCCGGGCGGGACGGAGGCCTTCCTCTGCCCAGAGCCTGCCTCCCCGCCATGGGCCTCACTGGCCCGCTCTCCGGGTGTCCTTGGAGGGCCTTCCCTGCAGGCGGACGCGCTCCTGTCCTCGCAAGCCTGAGTGCGCTGCCCACACTAGCCAGCCCCGGGGCGCCCGCCTGCACCTTCTCCAGGCCTGGCTTTCAAAACGCGGACAAGGCTTCCTGCTCCTCCTGCTGTGGCGCAGCAGCCCTGATACGCACCACAGAGGAGCCAGGGCGACATTCTGGAGGGCCGTCAGCTCCAGGGGCTGCTCAGTCCTGGGCTCCCTGCCACCAGGGTGTGGACGCCTGCTCTGTGCAGTCTGGGGCCTCCGCCACCCTGCACCATGAGCTCTGGTTTATTTCTGGGGGTCAGGAGGCTTCCAGACACAGGGAGAGTCCTTTTCCGAGCTGTCCGTGGAAGGTCAGCCCAGGACGGGCTCTGGGGGCCCCTCCCCACTCTGCTGGTCCTGGAGGCTCCCGAAGGCCACTGGCCTGCCCTCCGGCTGAGATCATGGATTCTCACCAGAGCCACACTGACCTCCGCTGTGTGCATGCAGGAGACACCCAGTGTGGCTTCAACCCAAGAACCCTTCCTGCCCTGGCCTCAGTGAGGGGCCCAGACAGGCCTGGCATCAGGCTGAAGCCAAGGGTGGCCTGGAGCCAGGGTGGGGAGGGGGCTGTGAACTACGGGACGTGACCCCGACTCGCCACAGGCATCTCCTCTTTTGTTGGGGGTTTGGGAAGGATCAGGAATCAACGCACCCCGTTGACCTGCGTGGAACTCCCATCAGCCTCCACTTCTCTTAGACAACAGAAAGGGGAGGAAACAGTTTCCTTAAAACGTGCTGTTCCTGGGGAGGCAGGCGGCTCTGGAGGAGTCCAGGCTCCGGCTGCACCCCGGCCCAGGGTGGAGGACACAGCCAGCTGGGGCCTGGGAGGACAGGGGACGGCTAGTGGGCACGGGAGACCCGGAGGCAAGCAACCACACAACGGGGGGTGTACAAAGGGCGGGAGGGGAGCCTCTGCCCAGAGGGGGTGGAAATGGTGGCTGAGAGCTCCCCCTTCAGGAGGGCTCGAGGGGAGGCTGGGGGAGGGCTCTGCGCCTTTGAAACTTGGTCACTCTAGAGCAGGTGGGGTGTCACTCGGCCACTCTAGAGCAGGTGGGGTGTCACTCGGCCACTCTAGAGCAGGCGGGGGTCACGGGCTAACGTGCCTACTCGCCCCTGTACAGAGTGTCGCCAGGGCAGCCTCAGGATGGCTGAGGTGTGCTGAGACTCGGGCGGGAGTGGCCTCAGGGGCACACGGTGTGACAGGAGGGGGTGGAGGAGGAGACCAGGAAGGAGGTTGCGTGCTACTTGCCAATTTATCCAGCATTTCAGAAAACAGCTCCTTGCCGGCCGAGTCAAAAATGAAGAGCTCCTGCAATCAGAAAGCAAGTCCCAGCGAGGGGCACGAGGGAAACCATGGGCTCTGCTGCCATTCTGTCACCCCGTCACCGCAGGTGGGCTTGGTGGTGAAGGGCACGTGCCCACTGTACACACGTTTCACTCACGCTTTCCCGGGGCGCCAGAGAGAAACGGGGAAAAGGGACTCCAGAGCCCCCGGGAGGCAGGGGCAGGTCCCCACCCCGCCCAGGATGGTCTGCAGGGAGCCTCAGCCCTCCTGACCGAGTGCAGAAATACAGGGCACAGGCTGGCCTCCCACCTGGCAGAGCAGAGTGCCAACCAGGCCGAGGAGCTCCGGGCTCCGAAAGGTCATGGCGCACTTTGTTAACCAAATCGATTTCCAAGTCTTAAAACGACTCTTTTTAAAGGAGGTCACTGAGCAGGCCTGGGAAGGCGTCAAAGTAGGCCAGGCTGACGTCGTACTGGGATGGCCCAAGCACCACTCAGACAGAGGGCACCAGATGCCCCTTCCCACCTGCCCGCCTCACCCAGCCCAGGTGGGAGCCCCTCCCCGGCTTCTGACCCCTGGCCCCTGCTCTGTGGGTGCGGGCGCCACGTCACCTGCACCAGGAAGCGCAGGACTGCTCCCTGGTTTTCTTTTTGGCTCACGGGCCTCTTTAAGAATCCAGAGAGCTACAAACCCTCCTGCCAGGAAGGGACACAAACGACATCTTGCCATGGAACTTCAAGAGCCCTGGGACTGCTGAGGAGGGACCCTGGGCAGCCAGCTCCTCTGGGGAGACGGGTTCCCCAGTACTCCAACCCCTCGGTCCCTCTCGAACAATTCCTGTGTCCCCTGATTGGGTCCCCGATGCTCAGGGGAATCTGGGCCCAGTCTCTGCACTGGTCCCACGCTGGTCAGTGTGGCCCACAGGAGGAGCCTGGTGCCCCTGGGCGGGGGTGCCACTCACCACACTGTCGCCGGTGTCGGGAACTGGCACCGTCTTCACCACCAAATCCACCCCTGCTGTCTGCCAAGGAAGACCCAGGACACGGGCATCAGGGGCCCCGTGGAGGGGAGATGCAGGAGGACCCAAGAACCCCGCACCCAGGGACGTCCCCAGCCCAGTGCTTGTGCCCCGGAGGAGAAGGGCCCCTCCTCCTGCCCACGAGCGAGCTGCTGGTGGGGGTGGTGTGCTGTGCTCTGGAGGCCACTCTGCAGAACGCCCCTCCCTGGGCTGTGGGTGACACGGTCACTGGGCAGCTGCAGGCCTCTCGGCTTCTGGCAGAAATTCTGCGGAGCCGCTCCCTCGGGCTGTGGCCCCTGCTCACCAGGGTGTAGTTCTGGAAGTGCACCCCATCGCTGCGGAAGAGCTGCGCCAGGGCCGTCTTGCCCACCGTCGGGTCTCCTGAGCCAGAGCAGAGGACAAGTGTCACTCAGGTCCCATCAGAACCGAGGACCCCTGCCCTAGAACTGCATCGAGTTTCCAGGGCAAAAGTCCTCGGCTCTCAGGGAGCCCGCGAGGCCCCAGGCAGGGCCACGAGACGATGCGACCAGCTTCGAGACCCAAGAGGGCCGGGGCTCCTCTCCACGCGGCTAAGGACGCTTTCATCCTAAAGACCGGCCCAGGAGGGGACAGAAAGCCCTGGCCCAGAAGTCACTTTCCAACTTGAACTCACACGGAAGCCCCTCAGGAGGAGCAGAGAGCGGACCACTGGAGCCCAGGGGACTCCTGGACACTGGTGCGCATTTCTGGGGAACAAGAGGCCCGAGCTCCATTACCATCCTGAAAGCGGCTGCCGAGGGACACCCTCCAGCCCACCCTGCAGGGCACCTTCCCGGCCTCTCCACCAACCCGCCTGCAGCGGCAGCCACTGCTCCGCGGGTCAGTCCCTGTCGCGGTTCTTAGCCTGCGGTCTGAACCTCTCCAGAGACCAGCGCTCCTCGTGCCGCCTGTATGCCCCTCTGCCCACGCCCTGCCTCCTGCGATGCCAGGTGTCCTGTGGGCAGACTCCAGCCCTGACAGGACCGGTCTCTGTTTCCCAATCCTCAGCAAAATGTCCGGGGCACCTGTCCCTCTGACTTGCCCCTCTGGGCTCCTGGCTGCACTCCGCCGCCCCCTCCACAGCCACATGCTCGCCCAGCTCCTCCACGCTCGTCTTTCCCACCCGTATCCTCTCTTCTGAGACCATCATGACTTCTCGTGGCCTTTCCTGCTGTGAGCTCTGCGGCTGTGAGTGGAGCGCTGCTCAGGGCTGGCTTTCCCATCCGCCACTTGTTAGACGGGACCCACCTGCCCTGTGCTCCCCTCATGGACCCAGGCACACGCATTCCTTCCTTCCCACCCGGTGCCCTGCAGCGCCCACCTCACCCGACAGAGGAAGACACCGAGGCTCAGAGAAGCTGGGTGACCTGCCTGGGGTTCCAACACCGTGCTCCCTCCTCCAGGCCCGGTCCTCTCCTGAGCTCAGAGGCCAATTCTGGCCTGTTTCATCAGCGCAGTCCCAGGACACCTGGACGCCACAGCCTGGACTGTCACGGGCCCCCACCTGTCCCAGGCCCCCACTTGTCCCAGAGCACGCGTCACTTTCCTCCTTTGCACCTTGATGCGGACACCCTCCAACTCCAATTCTGCTCCTGAATCCAGGTGGGGGAAGTGGCTCTTCCTGCTGTGGA